GGAGGTGCAAAGGAGCAGAGCCGTCTGCTTCTAAGGGCACCATCAGGTGTGAGACCTCAGGGTCATGGTCACCTGGAGGAGGAGGGCAGGTGGGTTCCTGGGTTGCCGGGAATGACCGTGTCTTGGCTTGAGTAGTAGTCTTGTGGACTTGCTCACAGCGTGGCGGTCCTCAGTGTTATAGAATCATTAGATGCTGGACCCCGGGGAATTGCTGGATATTGCTGCCCTGCATTCCCATGGCAACCTCAGGCTACTTCACTGCCCGTAGCTAATTCTTCCAAATAAATATAGAAGCCACCCCTACCTCCTGCCCCAGACATACACCTACATCTCTTCTGTAGCCACCTGGACTCAAGCCATTGGCTTCTCCTGCCTGGGCTGTGCCTTGGCCTCCCACTTGGTTACCAGCTACTTGCTCTTCTCCCCTTTGGCCCATCTCCAACTCAGCAGCCATAGGGATCCTCTAAGTACCTTCAGATTACGTCACTCTGTGCCCGACCCGCCTGTCTCAGAGTCTAAGCTGACTAAACACAAAGAACTCACATCCATCGAGTGGATGCCAACGCCTAGTGATGCTTTGGGACAGGGTAGACAACTGGCCCTGTGAGCTTTCCAGACTAACTCTTTATGGGTACAGAAAGCCCTGTCTTTCTCCCTTGGCGTGGCCGATGGGCTCAAAGCTGACAAGGTCACCCCTTTAGCTGCCCTCCCCTCCCCACCCCAGCCCCCTGGGCCTCTGTGTGGTCTTCGAACTTACCCAAGAGTCTTTGTACTTGTTTCAGACAGCGGCAGAGCTGAGCACTCCTCCAAGTCTCCACTCACATATCACCTCCTTTTCTGGGTACTCTCTTTCCGCCCCCCTCCTTCCGGGCTCACATATCCACTCTCTAGCCCCTTCCCATTGTCCTTCGGAATGGTGGCTCCTTGCGGCAGGAGGTGCGGTGAGTTTTGCCACTGATGGACCGCAGTGCCAGAACGAGGCTGGCTCTCTGACTGGGCCCCCACCCACCCCTGCCCACGCCCTCCTCTCTCTGATTTTAGGCTTCATTCCTCGCTCTCTGATTGGCTCTTGTCCCTGTCTATCACCTGTGACTTTGGGCAAGTTAGGGATCTCTCTGAGCCTCAGCTTCCTGCTCAGGAAAATGGGTTTAGCTTTAGCAAGACCTCATGTGTGGGGTGACGTATGCCCTGAGACAGGCACAGTTCACATCCAGGGCCCTGGTGTCATTCGTAATGGTACTGTCCCACTTTTCAAGGGTCCCAGTTAGGGTCCCCTGGTCAGTGGAGGGTGGGCATGTTACTGAGGCCGAGTGAGGGACTCGGGGTCAGTTCCGGTAGGCTGGGGCCTGGAGTAAGCCCTCCTCCTCCTCTCTCCCCCGTGAGACAGGGAGTCGGGGAGCTGCGCCCTGTGCACCTCCTTCAGGAAGCCTCACCTTCAGATTGAAACTGCTCTGCAGCTCCTGGAGGTCCATCCGGTGGTACAGCGCGGTGACGTCATGTCTCTCCTCCTGGGGTGCTGTGGCCTGCACAAGGTGGACATGAGGGCATACGGGGGCACCAGGGCCCAGCCCCCAGCTCCAACCCCGCTACCCCCGCCCCCCCAGCCTCACATTTGCCAGCTGTGTCTCCAAGTCGAGCACCAGGGTCATGTCCCTGTGCACCAGCTCGTCATCCTGGGTGAGGTTCATGTCTGACCGTAGCAGCGAGGCTACCGAGATCATGAACTGCAGGTAAGCCTCCCGCACCTGGGTGGCAGAGGGGTGTGGGTGGCTCAGGACTGTCAGCCTGAGAGGAGGGAGGGGCAGACTGACCTGCCTCCCAGGGCCCACTCCCTCCTCCCCCAGTTCATTCTGCCTGTCATTCACCTGCCCCCAGACAAAGCTCCCGCAGGGGCTCAGGGGTTGGCAGCTGTGATTCTGGGTCCCGAGGCTTGGCACTTGAAGGCTGCACCCCGGTTATTCCATACCTTGGCCAAGTCTGGCCCTACCCCTCCTGCTGCATGGCCTCAAGCCCCTGAAACATACAGTGGTGCGGCCTCCTATGGGCTCTCACTGAAGGTCAAGGCTGTGTGGTGCCCAGCTTCAAGGGCTCCCTCTCAGCTGTAGGGATTGAGGCCTCTCCCCACCACGGTGTCTGCTGGGCCCTTTGGAGAGCTTTAGGACCTGCTTTCCCAGTCCACGTCTCCACCCACAGACCTATTTGTTGGCCACACCTGTTCTTTCCCCTAAGGAGCTCTGGTAGTATAGTGAGTTACGTGCTATGCTGCTAACCACGAGGTCACCAGTTCGAATCCACCAGCTACTCCCCAGGAGACAGATGAGGCTGTCTACTGCTGTAAAGATTTAAAGTCTGGAAATCCCAAAGAGCTGTTCGACTTTACCGTACACGGTCGTTGTGAGTGAGAATTGACTTGATGCCAGTGGGATTTTGAGTCCCTTTCCTTGGTTCAATCTACTCCCTAAAGCCTTGGTCCCAGTTCCTTCCTCCAGGAAGCCCACCTGTGTTGCCCCATGGGCCACTGCTTTCCTCTTGCCCCTGCCCATACTCTGCCCTCCCTCTCTCTGGGTCAGAGCTGATAAGGGCATGCCTGGCCTCATGCTCCCCAGCCCTGTCCTTGCTTGACCTCAGGGAGGACTTGTCTATACTATCCACACCCCGGTAGCCCCTGTGCGGCTTGCTCCCTTGCCTGCTGGCCACCAGCTCCTTGTATCTCTCCCTTTCCCAATTATGACCTCCTGAGGTGGACGTAGAACCACTGAGGACGCAGGCTCAGGGCCCAGCTCATCCTGCCCCTGCCCAGCTGAGCACAAGGCTGAGCCTGGCGTGGGGCTGGGTGCTCAACCCCTTCCCAGCAATGAGGCTAGCCATTGATGGGTGACGGGGCCCACTTCACACAGAACCTCCTGGGCTGGCTGAGTGGGGCCCTGGGTGGCCCTGAAGGGGCAGGAGGGAGCCTAACTTGAGGTGATGTGGGTGTCAGGGGCAAGCATGTGGGGAGGGCTGGCTCACCTTCTCGCTGCTGCCGATGTTGAAGTAGTACTCCCGTGATGGCATGCCCAAGGTGGGCTGGTCTATCTGCAGACACACAGGTGGTCCGCCTGGTCCCCCCTCCCTCCCCCATGGTGGGGAGCTGGGCCAGGGAAGGGCTGGGGACGCCTATCCACCTGGAAAGGGGGCTTGTGGAGGGATGTGTGCCGGCCCCCAGAGGTCCTAAGCCCCACTCACGGGGCGGGTGGGAGGATGGGCCACCCCATGCAGAACCACATGGTCCCAGAGTGGGGGCATGTCTCCCCATGTGGCATCTCATTGACCTGGTCAGAGGCTGCCCCTTCGGGTCATGCTCTCAGCCTGGCACCAAAGGCCTCCCCTGTTCATCCCCAGAGCCAGGCTCGGTGCCTGTGGCGCCCCTCCCACCGGGGCCCATGGCAGACTGGCAGACACCTGGCTCATCAGCAGTGGCTGGGCTGGATAGGCCCCCCTTGGCCCCAGACCCGCCCCAGCCCTGCCCGGCGCGTACGTACGTAGATGATGTGGCGGCTGGAGTTCTGGTCGTCGTTCCAGATGAAGAGGTCGATGAGGACACGCTTGTTGAACTGGGAGTTCATGACGGCCAGCTGCCGCTCCAGCTCCCAGTTGGGGCCTGAGGAGTCAGGGGCCCCGATGGGGGAGCGGCCCAGCCCAGCCCCTTCTTAGATGGGCGCTCAGGGATCCCAGCCTGGACAGTGGTGGTGCAAACGCCTAGGGCCTGCGGGCACCCGAGGGGTGCACTTCTCCAGAGACCTTGCAGGACACAGCCTGGTCCTCAGGGCAGTGGGGCTGCTGCCCCCGCAGGCCTGAGGGAGCAGGGCATGGGCACCCCTGCGGGGAGTGGGGAGTGTGGGGGGAGCCCTGAGCACAGACCAATACCTGGGGGTCTAGACTGGAGATGAATCAGCACCCCCCAACTCTAGCAGAGACCCATTTGTGGAGCGGGAGGGGCTCCCAGGCCCCTGAGGTTGGGCCTCTGGGGTCTTGCAGAAAGGGCTGCCAGCCTAGTGTTCTGTGGGCCCACTCCTGAGCACTTCTCCCCTGCCTGCCTGGGGTATAAAGCTGCCTGCCATACCGGTGATCTTGCTCCAATTGTACATGGCCACCGGCCAGCCCCCCACCGCCTCCAGGATGTCCAACAGCGGCCGGGAGTCTCGCTTCTCGATCATGCCTGAGGAGGGGGTGGCAGTCAACTCTCTTGGGGACCCCTCTGCAGACCACAAGAAACTCAGCACCCATGGACTGGGGTCCCTGCCAACAGGGTGCAGGGGGCCTGCGTGGGAGCAGTGCCTGACCCAGGAGTGAAAGAAGCCCCACAGTAAGGTGCCCTGGTGGTGTAGTGGGTTAGCCTAACACACATAGGACAGTGGTTTGAAACCACCAGTGTCCCGCCAGAGGAAGACGAGGCTTCCTACTGGCATCCAGCCAACCCTGACTCTTGGTGACCCTACAGGGCAGGGTAGAACCACCCCTGTGGGTTTCCCAGACTGTAACTCTTTACAGGAGTAAAAGGTCCAGTCTTGCTCCCACAGAGTGCCTGTTAGTTTCGAACTGCGGACCTGTGGGTCATAGGCCAAGGCGTAACCCCTGCTCCACTAGGGCTTCTCTCGGAAACCCACAGGGGCAGTTCTACCCTGTCCTAGAGGGTCCCGGTGAGTTGGACTTGACTGGATGGCAGAGTTTGGTTTGAGTTTGAATGGCCTGGTGGATTAGGGATTTGACTGCTATTCAAAAGGTCGCCAGTTCAAACCCACTAGGCTCTGTTTGCTCCTGTAAAGAGGTACAGTCTCCGAGACCCCACGTGACTCACCATGAGCTGGAATTGACATAACGTCAGTGGGTTTGCTTAAGTAAGAACATCAGCAAAGGTGGGGCCACAACGGTAGTCACCTGCACAGGGAGGGGGCTGTCCTTCCTGGATATTTGACTTTCAGGGCCTGTATGTGTGGGGGGTGGGGTCTCAGTGGGACACCTCTTCCTGTAAAGCTGGAGGTCCAGTGAGTCTCCCTCTCAGGGACTCTAGAAATAAACCTGCCCTCCTCCAGGGGACCACCATTTGACTTCTTGGGCCGAGCAGGGGAGCGTTTGCCCATGGCGTCCATGTCCACTGGTTGGGCCTGCCATCCCCCAAGTGGGGGGCTGAAGGGGTCCCAGATGGGTGGGGCCCGAGCAGCTGGCATAGAAGCAAAGGCGAATCCTTCAGTAGGAGTCCAAAGGCCACCATTCCCTGGACCAGCCCTCTGCTGGCTTTCCCTGCAGAGCTGATGTAGCTGGGCCCGGCAACCAGGTGGAGGGACGATACAGGCCCCCCTGATGGGAGTCCTGAGTGATGCCGGCTCCCAGGGCTCCTGAGATGGCCTGGGCCCCTCCCACCACCCCACTCTGCCCGGGCCGGGAGCCCCCTTTACTCACTCTCATTCATGCAGGAGCGGTACAGCGTCTTGGCCTTCTGCACGGCTGGCCGGTCCTTGGAGGTGGGGTTCTCTAGTACCCCTAGGGACCAAGGGGAACACTGGCTGGAGGTAGCTGATGGGGTGCCCACACCCCCCTGTTGTGCTCAGCAAGAGGTGGCTCCTGTGCCCTGTGGGGCCGTCATGATAAGGAATCATCCCTCTGTGTTCCCCTGGGCACAGGACAACATGGGGGTGGGGTGCGCGGCACTGAGGGTCCTGTGGCCATTTATCCATCCAGCCTGCCTGGACTCCCAGCCTCCCAGGCACAGGCATCCGACCTCATCCACCTTTGAGGATGACTTCCAGCTGGTCCCGAAGGATGTCGAAGATGCTGTAGCGGGAGTTGGTCTCAGGGATCACGTGGTGCTTCAGCCAGCCACCACAGGCGTACTGGTAGAAGTCGTCGCAGGGTTCCTGGTTCTGGTCCATGCTCTGGAGGATCCTGGCAGCTGTTCACCCCGGAAGGGCAGGCAGGAGGGGAGACAGAGCTGTGGATGCCCCATAGGCTGTCCCTTGGGGATGGCCTGTCGGATAGCAACCCCCAGCTGTCCTTGGGAGAGTTCCTCAACCCCTCTGAGCCTCAGCAGGGGTGGGGCCGCTCAGCCTGGATTCAGGTGCTGAAGATACCACTTGTTAAGCATCTGGCCATGAACCTTGGTGGCCTCCCTGAGCCCTGGGGGCACCAGCAATCCTGCTTGTGACCCCAAGTGATGGTGGAGCTAAGCCAGCCCATAGGAAGTGCCCAGTTGCTGTATCCAGGGTCCAGCTTCGGCCCCTGTTCTCCTGGTCAGCATCTTCCCATCTTCCACTGGTCAGTGTGTGCGGTCCCTTGGTGGGGGAATGTGACTCCTATCAACACGGGCAGGCATAATGGGGGTGTCTTTGCCCCAGGACCCAGGACAGCTTGGCCCAAAGGCTCCTGGCTAAACGCTTTCATCTGGGACAGTCATGCACCCCCCACATGGATCCCCACCCCCATATATTTTCATTCTATTTCCACTTGGCCTAAGTTACCTCTGAGCTTGGGGGTCCTTGCAGAACATGTCACCATGGGCCCCGGTG